TTTTTTTTTTTTGCTATCGTTACGCTTTCTTAACGTACTCCAAGAAAACGTTGTGTACATGCTGTGGGTCCGCCACAGTAAAGGTCAATATATATTTTTACAATACTCATCATCACCATCTATTCGGATCGCAGTCAGAAGCGGAATACTCATACGCAGGTGCTGCAAAGGTGCTGCAATGCAATAAAAATAAAAATTACATTTTTAATGTCACTTACGCATTAATATATGTCATTTAAAATAAATAATAATAATGTATCGCATTTAACGATCGAGTTGAAGACAGCATGTTTTTCGTATTGTAGCTCCGAAGCGKTGGTGCACACGGTTACACAATATTATTATTTTTACGATTGTCGACGAGGTACAACGACCTCCGCGTCGTCRTCAGCCGAATGTTCCGCGACTTAATATTATATTATTATAATTTCGTTTACGCGTATATTGTTGTTTTTTGGTTTTACAATATATATGCTATCGTTACGTAAGTAGGTAGTTATAGGAGGTACCTATACACTATATACTATATAGGGATGCTAAAAACTGTTGCAAAGCCCCCTGTTTTCCCATTTAAACCGTGTCCTTGTTTCGACGCTACTTTAGAAACAATAATAATCTTGACAGATCAAAATAATAATTAATAAAGTCGTGTATATTAGTTTTGTTCGAGATACTAAAAAAAAAATCTATCAGCCTGTGAACGCGTTTACATATATGATAATATATAATGTATGGAAAATGAGACTTTTCCACTTCCCTMGTCATCTAACACGTACTTATATTATGCGTGTTTGATCTGTGATTGACCTAATRATGGTGCTTACCTATATAACATTATTTTTGCATATTCGTTTTCCGCCGTAAAAAATTATAATTATGCTTCTCATTTCGCCCGTGTGTCGTCTACATCTCGCACGCCACCGGCGGCGTATTGTTTATGACGCTGACATCATTCCCTAATCATTTTCCGGTTATTTTCTTCTCGTCTTATTGTATATAGTACAATGGGTATTATGCATCTATRCGATGATATCCGCGATGGATGCATGCATATATGTATGAGCGTCAACAATTTGTAAACTGTGTCCACTTTGTCCCGAAATTAATGATATTTATAYATCATATATAATATAGGTCCGATGTCTGTACCGGCTCGGTCGAACTGAAACARCATTTGAACGACGTGTCATCTCATTAATCGAAGCTCAAAGGGTTTGTACCTCTATGTATGAGTTAGAAAATTAATAGGGTTGTTTATATACGTACTCTTTGGTTAACTCAATAAATGGGACGTATAGACGGTAATTACTAATTAGAAACGTTTTCAAAGTGTACATCGTTAAACTAATTATGCAACGAAAAATTACCTATTATTAAATTATGTGATATACAGCACTATTACACTATTGGTGGGAGGGGGTATTACTATAACATATTATAATAGTATAGGTTATAAATTCAGTGGTGTAGTGGGACGTATACGCGGGTATACGGCGTATACCCTCTTCTCTTTTTTTTTTAAGTGCGTATACTTATATAGAATAACACACGATACGCGTTGGGTAGGCATTTATTCTATAAACCAATTTGATAAATAATTTTTATTTAATAAATAAAAATGTCGAAGAAACCTTATCGAGTTGACGGTTTCCATGATGAAAACAGTTGTTTATCATGCTAATCATGTAAGTGCTTAAATAAATACCAAATTTAACAGTAGCGTTCAACATCTCCAAAGAAAGTAATATAGATTTTATTTTGTAATTTTATATTTTCCCATAACACTGTTTCTTGTTTTTACTATTTTTTAATATATATTATTATTGAAACTAAAAATCTTATCTGGTTATTTGATTAAAACTTAATATTACTTAATTATTTACTATATATATGAGTCATAACTCATAACAAATAGGTATAATCATAAAAAGCTAAAATGTCTAATTATTCATTTCTAGGAGTATGATATGCAGGGTAGTAATATAGTGTGTAATTATTATAAATATAGAAATAATAACATCGTAGTGTATAGAGAGGGCGTGGGGGTGAAGCCCCGCTTTTACACATCATGTTTATTTGAGTGTTTATTCACAAAAAGAAATGACGACTACATCACTGGTTTATGGTTTATCACTACCTACCTATATACACACTCGTTTGCCGAATTATTAAGTGATGGAGCTCATGATGTGTACGGAAACTAGACGTGAACACATTACACATGTATCGACTGTTGACGTGAGGCCATTACTACATAAAAATGGTCCCATTCATTACAAAAAGCTTATAATATTATTGTCACGTGATGAGGTGTATAATTATATGTCTAAATAACAATAATTTAACACTATAACACTATATTAACGAGTTTGTTACTGGGAAAAAAATGTATGAAAGTATTCACGAATCTACGAATATAGTTGTATAGTTAAAGCGCTGATTTTTATGCACTAAAAAGTAACGAATATGCCATATAATAATATGTGGCAAAAATCGTGAAAATATGCAATAAAATAAAATAATTTATATCACAAATTTATATATTTCAATATTACAAAAAAAAGGGTATTGTAAATTTATATATTCTTTAAATTTTATTTATTATTTAAATGAATAAAACATAATACAATATATACAAGACCATTTCAATTAATTCCATCACAACATTTTACGATATTAATATTAATATTTGTTGTTCTACTCGATAATGTATAATTTTATACATTTTTTTTTTCAATTTACTTTTAATAATATGTTATACAATATATATTTCGAATTTCGTAAAAATATGTAAAAATACGCAATAACCATTAAATATGCAGAAATATGCAACAAAAATCACCAATAACTTCAAACTATATTATGATTCGTTATGATTACTGACGAAAAAAAAAATATGCAATCGCATAGAAATCCGAGCTCTACAGTTATATATATAGCTATCAATATTATTATACGTTCATCGTCGTTACTGTATTTATTTTTCCATTTTCCCATACGCTTAGGGACTATATATCGTCATTATGTATGTATACTCGTTCACCACTATATCGTCTATTCGCTGCAGTAAAAATATAATCTCGAATATTAGTCCGGAAGTCGCGTCGCACGTGGTGTATAGCACACGCTGACGCGTCATAACAACAACAACAACAACAACAACAATAATAATAATAATATACGTATAACACTCGTGCATTTGATAAACGACGATTTAAGTCTGCCAGATTTTTCCACCCGCACGCTTCGAGTATATTATTATTATTAATTTCAAAATCTGAGCGAAAACTTGAGCTGATATTAATCGCTCTCGGTGCCGTCTTACCACCATCATCTCATCCGGCGCTCTGTAGGCCATGTTGGCTCAATGAAATTCGCGTTAAACACCGCATTGTGCGCGTGCGCATTATACAACAACTAGTATATTATACGTACACGAGAATCCGAGAATTTTTATTCGATATAATATTTTATTATTTTTTTTTTACCACCCGATGCCTTTATAATGACGTAGGTCGTTAGTCCAGGAGTTGCTCCGTTAACGATTTCACTTTCACACGCGTACTATACAATAACAACTATCAACGGTGTATTGCAACAACCAGTTCGAACTTATTATTATTATTATTATTTATTTTTTTTTTTAACTCTCACACCGTGACTACTCTCACAATTTACCGGTTTATCGAT